CAGCGGCCGCGCGCGCGGCGGCCGCGTGGCGCGGGCGCCGCGAGGAGCAGCTGGTGCGGCGCGCGCTGCTCGCGCGGGGCTGGGCGCGATGGCGCCAGGTGCTGAGGCGGCCGTCCTGCGTGCGCCACCGCTCCCGCGGCCGCCTGGCGGCGCTGCTCGCGGGCGGCCGGCGCCTCCGCCCGCCCTTCGCCGAGTGGCGGGCGGCGGCGCTGCGGGGTGCGCGTGAGCGGCAGTTCGGGTCCTGGTTCCGGCGCCGGCTGCTGCTGCGGCGCGGGTTGCGGCGCCTAGCGCTCCCGCTCCACGCGGAGCGCCTGCGCCTCTTCCTGCGGCGGGCCGCGATGCGGCGCCTCCGCGGCTCGGGGCTCGAGGCGCTGCTCGCGTGGCACGCCGCGGCGGCGCGGCAGCACCAGCTGCGGTCGAGCCTGGCCGGGCTGGGGCGGTCCAGCCAGGCTCGGAAGTCCTCAGAGCGTGTGTGGGCGCAGTGTGCTTCTGCCCAGTTCAGTTCCGCCCGCGTCGGTCTTCCTAGCACCGCCTGCGTCGTACTTTGCAGGCTTCCGTGAACAGGCACACGTTCGCGCCAACACACGCCCTGAGCATCATCGACAGGCCCTGCGCGCGAGGGAGCTGCTGCGGCTCGGCTTCCGCGGCATGGCGGCCTGGAGGCTCTGGGGCGCCCGGGTGGCGTCGCTGCGCGGGCGCGTCGCTCGCGCCAGCAGCGTGCGGCTGCTGCGGGAGGGTGCGCTGGCCGCCTGGCGCGGCGCGGCGCGGCAGGCGTCGGCGCTGGCGCGGCTCGGCGCGGAGAGGCGGCGGCTGTTGCTGCGGGGCGCTGTCGCCGGCTGGGCGAGCGCGCGCGGCCTCGTGCAGCGCCTGCGGCAGGCGCTGTCAGAGCGCGCGGGCCCTAGTTTGGGAGGGGCTCCACGATTCAGTGGCTTGCGCCGTGACGCCGGCCCCTTGGCAGCCCTGGAGTGTATCCTTAGTGCGCCGCAGTGTAGCTGGTTTGGGTGAAGAGAGGGGGTCGGCCAGCGCCCGAACGCTTGCCCAACCGTTTGTCCTTTGTGTTGGGATTCCCCAAAGCGTGAGCCAAACATGTGTCAAAACACACATGGAGCAACCCGTTGGCAAGCCCTCCGCCGCGTGGTTCGACCCCTCGACGCTGCGCGATGCCTTGACACTGGGCTTGATGTGGGGCTTTGCGCGGGGCTTGGATCGACTTTCGAGCGGGGCTTCCAACGGCGCCGACGTGCCCCTTGGATAGACTCTGACATAACTCGGCGATTCGGACCTCGCCCCTGCAGGCGCGCAAACAACAACCAAGCGGGGGGGGGGGATACTTTGAGGGGGAGGGGGGGTGGCGGAAAGAAAGGGGAGGGGATGGCAGGAGGACTGAGGGCGGGCGGGAAGGGGCAGGGGAAATACCCATGCGGGCTGATGCAGTGCATGACCCTGCGCCTGACGCACTACACTAGACATTTGCCTCGCAGACGGTCTGTCCGCGCGAGGGTCTCTTCGGTCAGATCGCTCCGTCTTCAGCAATGTGAAGAAAACCGACGGTTCTTGAAATATCTAGGCCCATATCTGGGCACGCCTGACGCCCCAGCTGAACTGTTCGAAGCCTTCGTGGGCTCCACTTGGGCCCTCAACTCTGCGGCCTTCCCCAGTCCCTCCGTGTGCCCTCTCTGGTCTTCTCTTTTCTCAAAGCCCCGAGACGCTCCTCTCGATGTCTGCAGGCGTGGCGCCCCCGATTTCGGCCCCTCGTTCTCGCCACTCCCCCCCCCCATCCTCCTCCTCCTCTTCCTCCTCCTCCTCCTCCGCCTCCTTTTGCTCCTCATCCATTCTGGCCCAAGAGACCTTGGGCTTGCAACAGCAGTCTTCGGAGCGGCAGTCGCTGCTGCGGGCCTCTTGTGGCCACTGTCTTTTCGCGCCTCTGAGGAGGCAAGAGATTCGCCCAGCTGGGCAATCCATGGCCAATGGCGGAGGCGGCGCTGGAGATGCTCTGGCGGGCCCCCGCACATCCACATGGGCGTGCTGCCATTGTGGGGGGGAATACGAACTGGGCCTCGAGGGTCGTGTGCTAGTCTGGAGAGCGCGCGCCTCCTGATCTGGCTCGCAGAGCTCGTGAGCGCGCTGCTACTGCTGAGCGGGATCGCCTCCCTCGTGACAAGCGTGGTCAAGGTGGGCGAGACCCACTTCAGCAGAAGCTCGATGCGCTGCCGAAGAAGTTCGGCGCACTGGTGGCCAAGGGCAATGAGAGCAGCTCTCCTATGCCTGCTACGGCTACCGCTGGCGACAGGAAGGGGGCCACGGGGTCCAACAAGCGCAAGGAACATATCAAGCAGTTGGTAAATTCGCTGACATCATGCAACATACTTCTTGGAGAGGTTGGTAAAGAAGCATGCCAGTCTCTGGAGAAGCAGTTGCCCGAGACCAAGAGGTCGCTTGCGGAAGCCAAGCCAGAGTTCACTCAGCATACGAATGTAGGTCATCGGCTTACTCGTGTAACGACGCGGAGGAGTAAGCTTGTGCAGAACGTGTCCGGGCGAGTGGGGATCTCACGAGCGATTGAGGAACATATCAATACATTGCGTGCCCAGATCAAAGCAGTTGACGAGGATATTGTGCTTTTCAACCGCGAGCTGGTCACCGCTTTTTCCCGTGGCTCCTAAGGTCACGCTCGAGGCTGACCCCGATGTCTTGGCGCAGGACCCGCAGGCGGAGTCGATTGGGGCTTTCATGGGGTCCGAGACGCTGAAGTTTTTCTGTGACGTCTTGGGGGGGGGGCGTCAAGGCCAGGGAGGTCCCGAAGCCAGAGCCCGCGCCCTCGCCCTTCGCGCCGCCTCCTGGCGAAGGCGATAGTGCGCATCGCGGCGTTCCTGCTGATGCTGGCAGGGCTGGCCCAAGGTATTTCGGCGGCGAGAGTGTCCGAGTCCCGTTAGACATGGAACTCGACGATGTGGATGACGCCACCATCAATTCTATCGTTGCCGCAGCACAGGAGGATGGGTTTGACAAGACCACCTTCACTGAGCGTTTTGGCAGCACGCTGCGACGCCTCAAGCAGCGAATTTAGCCAGCGCGTGCCACTTTGCTGCGGACTTAGGCTTTTTGAATCCGGAGTTTCTGCTCCACTTCCGCCCCTCCCCCGCTCTCGACGCCGCTGCCCTCAGAGCTGGATGACCAGGGCAGCTGCATCGAAACGTACAATGGTAATAGCTGGCCCGCACTGCGAGAACGGCTACGGATGTCTTCGGCGAGCATCTTCTTGGCGCAGGAGGTGGGCTTCCTCCGGGACAAAGAGGGACAAATCCAATTCGGCGGTGGCCCTGGGGTGGCAAATGCTCTCCTCCCCATCCCTCCCTGGCGTGGCGCCGGAGCGGGGGTGGCTGCGTTCGTCCGCTCCCACCTTGGCCTTAGATGGCCAGCAGATCGTGCGGGTATCATTTACCTTGGGAGATCGATGCATGTTGTTGTTGATTTACCAGGCTGGCCCTTTCTTCAGGTCTTGCGCGGGCACCTCGAGAGTTGCATTGGCACGCGTCGGCGCAATGTCCAATTACTTCGGCTCATGGGGGAGAGGCTTGAAGGAGAGCGCATGCTTTTTTGTCGGGTGCGGCTGGAACCCCGACCCCAGTTTGGCCGACGCCTCTGGAGTGCGCCGGCGCATGGGTGGGGCCCTGCTTGTTCCTGGTCAGAAGACTTGCCTCTCCCCCAACAGCCGCATTACGATTGATTATTGCCTGGTGAGCTCGGGCCTCGCTAAGGCCAGTGAGGGGGCCCAGGCGGTCATGGATTGGACCCGCCCCCCCCGCCGGCCCGTCGCCCCCGACGTTGGGCCCGGTGCGTTTCGGGGTTCTCAGCTCGCGCGCCGAGCCCGCCAGCGTCTGCTCACGTTTGTTCCAGCAGGGCCCGCGCCTAGGCCGCAGGATTGGGGGCCGCCGCGGGCTGTGGCAGAGGCGGCGGCCGAGGCAGCTCTCGCGGCGCCAGTCGGCCAGGCGCGGGCGCCCCTCTCGGCGGCGCGGCAGCGCTTTGCCGACGCCTTCGAGCTCGAGCTCGGGGGCTTCACTGGAGAGGCTGCGCAGCTTCGAGGTTGTCCGGGCGATTATCTCAAACCTCGGTGGGCCCCGATTTCTGCGAAACCTCGTGCCCTGGAAACTCGCCTCGGAGGCTCGGAGGTGGATTTGGCTCCCCGAGCACCTCGGCGAAACGATCGGGGCCTCGGCGAGGCTCTACACAGCGATGGCCCAGGCGGCCGAAGATCCCGATGGGGGTTGGTTGAGGCCACCTGTCCTTGAGCAGATGCAGCAGGATGTGCATCTCCAGCTTCAACAGCTGTCTGGACTTCCATGCCCAGGTGAAGGTGTCAAAATCCGCCTGGACGCCACTATTCGGCAAGCTCGCGGAGTGGCGGGCAGGCCCCCCTCGCCAGGCTCCCTGAGCAGCTGGCGCGCCGAGAGTTCACGTTCGCGGGGGGGGGGGGCGAGATCCTCGCGGCCAAGAAGGCCATTGAAAATCAGCAGAAGGATATTTGGGATCACTGGCGCGAGCAAGCTTTTTTTTGGGGGGGGGCTAGGGCCGTGCACAGGCGGTCGTTCAGACCCGCACTTGCGTCTTCTCGAGCAGCCCCCAGCTGCCTCTCCAACGTGAAGGAGAGGAGCTGGCCAAGTTACGGCACGCGTCTCATGCGCCGCCCGAGGCTTGCGCGCCCGACCGCGCCCGCCAGCCTCGGCCCTCGGCTTCCGAGATTAGGAGAGCACCGGGAAGTTTTAGTCGCGCCACGCCCCAGTCCCTTGACTGTTTCCACCAGTTCAGTCCCGGGTCGGACGAGGCTTTCGAAGCTTGCCGCCATCGTGCCAGCGATTGAGTCCCTGGGTTTTATTCCCTAAACAGTTGTTCTGGCTCCTTTTCCTTTTTCCTGGAAAACAGAAGCGGGGCCTTCTGGTTATTTGCTGTGCGCGGGGCCCGTCAGAGTTTGGGAACGATTGAGAAGGCCCGCCATTATTACA